GGCGTTTTTACCCCCATTTTACGGAGGACAAAACTAAGGTCCAGCCCTGGCCGGTTTGGCTCAGCGGTTGGAGCGTCAGCCTGCGGACCAAAGAGTTCCAGGTTCAGTTCCCCCTAGGCCCTAGCGGCTAAGGGCAGTACCAAAAAAAAACAATAACAAAATAAAACTAAGGTCCAGAGACGTTTAAGTGACCAACTCCCTGTCACAGAACTAAGAAGGAGCTGAGTTAGGATTTAAATCTAGGCCTTTTGATGTCAAATCTAGTGCCTTTTCTAACACATGTTAAGCAAGATCAGGCAAAAATGCTCACAAAAAAGGGATGGGAAAGCTAGGCATGACATAAGGTCATAAACTGGGAAAGAAGTGTCTGGCATGGACAAAATCTCTAGGGCTGCTGTCCCCTACGCAGCAGAGCAAAAATAACTATGTGCTTGGGCAATGGTGGCCTGATGCGCAGGTAAAAGAGCAGTAGGAATTGTGGTGACACATATAGAATTTCTTCACAAGGGAATTAATTTATCTGGCAAGCTTTGAAGAAATGCAGACACAGGGAGATAACTGACCATACCATTGTCTTGTTTCATTAACAGGAGAGCCAGTCTGAAGGCCATCTAGACCTTACTAGACCTTAAAATATTGACATGATTCTTTTTTTTTCCCCCAACAGCTTTATTAGGGTATAATTTATATACCATAAACTGACATGTAAAACACGTCACACAGAATAGGTCACACACATTTGTTATTTTGTTAATTTCTTTTTCCTTTATTAGGGGATTCACATGAAATGACTACTTTGGGTTCAAAATTATGAAAAATAATATACTTTTGTAGATATGCTTTAAAAAAATTTTTATTGTTGAAAGTATTACAGATGCCCCCACCTTTCAGATACACTTTTCTTAAAGTAGCACTCTAAATTGTGAATTTGAAGTTTTTGCTACTTTTTGAAATTCCATTTATAGCTCAATTGGGTTACATTAGCCTTTTACTCCAGCTGGTGTGTCTCATTGGTTGAGCATCAACCCATCCACCAAGAGGTTGCCAGTTTCATTCCCAGTCAGGGCACATGCCCAGGTTGTGGGCCTGATCCCCAGTGGGGATCATGCAGGGGGCAGCCAGTCAATGTTCTCTCTCTCATTGATGTTTCTATCTCTCCCTCTCCCTTCCTCCCTCTTTAAAATCAATAAAGGAAAAAACATTTTTTTTTAATTGTTAACTAAAGCCCCCTCCCCGAGCATTTCAATATCCATTTATAATAAAGCCAAATTCATCCCTTATTATATTTTATAAAAGATTTTTTTTTTTACTTCAAAATAGTGCATCAGTGCCATTGCATTTTATAGGAAGACTTTTTAACCTGGTGTTTTAGACAAATCATTTACAATTTTGATTCTATAATAAGTGCATGGAATTTGAAATCTGGAAGAAACCTTGAAGATTATGAGGTCTGACTTGCTCATTTTATTGATAATAAACCCAGAGAGATTACAAGCCTTGTCCCAGCTTGATAATGACAGAGCTAGGACAAGAATACAAGCCTTGGATTCCTAGCTTGGTGCCTTTTCCAACACCCCATAAATAAGCTGTTGGCTGCTGAATTGCCTCAGTTTCTTTGATGAGATCAGTCAGCAGGAGACCAAGAATAAAGCATTCTATGGAGTCACAGACTAAAGCAAGGACCCATCAATGCTGTCTCTTCTTGCTTCTACAAGCACATCCCCATACGACCGCTCCTAACTCTCCAGTATAGCGAATTAGTAAAACTCAAGCATTCCTAAATCACATTATCAATAGTGCAGCATTTGCTCAGTGGATCCCTTTGTGGATCTTTCAAGTTATAGGCTATTTGGTTTCCCATATTTCCTTCCCTGTTCTGCCAGAGAGTCCAGTTGCTTTTAGTCCTGTCACGTGCTCTGCTTTTTCCTTGGAAAGGAAGACCTCAGGCACATGCATAGCTTGTGTCTGTTCTGGTTTTTTAGTTTTTCTTTCAGGGAGGTGGAGGTGTGGGTAATTTGTGAGGTAAGAATGACTTCCTTGAACCTGATGGTCATTTCAAATTATGGTGGATATTTAAAAAATGAATATCATTATCAAATCTAACAAAAATAAGTATTCCTTTATATCATCTAATATCCATTTTATTTTTAAATTTCTCCAGTTGTCTCAAAAATATCTTTTTTACATTTGTGTGTTGGAATCAGGACCCAAACAAGGTTAACATTTGTTTACTATGTCTCTTAAGCATGTTTTATTGCAACTTACGCTATTAAAAAGATATATTTTTAAAATTTAATTCTCACCCAAGGACATGCTTTTATTGATACGAGAGAGAAACATTGTTGTGAGAGTGAAATATCGATCAGTTGCCTCCTGTATGTGCCCTAAATGGGGATGGACCTGCAACCTGGGTATGTGTCCTGACTTAGAATTGAACCTGCGACCTTTCCTTGTACAGGACGACACTCCAACAAATGGAGCCACACTGGCCAGAGCAAAATTTTTTTTTTTAGAGAGAGAGAAACATCAATTTGTTGTTCCACATATTCATGCATTCATTGCCTATTGTATGAACCCTGACCGGAGATCAAACCCACAACCTTAGCCTATTGGGATGACATTCTAACCAACTGAGCTCCCTGGCCAGGACTATTAAAAAGATTCTGTAAGAGTATGGGAAAGTTTAAATTCACTGTTTCTGGACTGTTTGCAAAGTGATTGTACTAATTCCACTCCTATAGAGTTTATGAGAGTTCCACTTCCTGTCCTACTTTTGGGATTGTCAGGCATTTCACCTTTTGCCTATCTGATAATAAGCCTTAATATGTAAAGAAAGGTGAGCCTAGTCTTCAAACCTTGTATAACAAAGTGTTTTATGTATAAAACTTAATGCTCCCGGTAGATAATTATATACCACTACCCCATCTGAAAGTCACTGTTTTAGGTCCTGAGTACATCAGGATCTATTATACATTAAGAATGAAGAAGATAGTGAGGTAAATATATACTATTTAAGATTTCCTAAGAAAGATATGACTGGTACTGACTTTCTCTCCTATGAAGATCCTTTTTAACACATATAAAACCCAAGGGACCAAATACATATTGATTTTACTTTGAGGCATGTCAAGATTCCTATAACCCTTTATTAGTATTTGTCATAGCAGGTTAGGTTGTTGGCTCTGATGATGTCATAATGCTTTGTTTGTGGGGTCATCTGGTGTCACACTTGATGGAGAATCAGCTTTTATTAATAATTTATTTTTTCTTTATAGATTTTAGAGAGAGAGGAAGGGAGAGGGAGAGAGAGAAACATCGAAGAGAGAGAACATCAATTGGCTGCCTTCTGCACGCCCACCACTGGGGATCAGGCCCACAAACTGGGCATGTGCCCTGACTGGGAATTGAACTGGAGACCTCTTGGTGCACGGGTCCACACTCAGCCACTGAGCCACACCAGGCAGGCAGGGAGAATCAGCTTTTAAACGACCTGAACCTTAGATGGCAAAATGTGATCTCCTGGAGACATTTCCTGAGATCATAGGGATAAAAGATCTCCAGAAGAAAATCTGGAAAAGCTCTCCTCTTTCATTAGTATATGTGGGTTTTACTCACAGTTGAAATGTGGACAACACACTGGGCTAACACCTGATGTGTGTCTGGATTGTTCTTGGTTGCCAAGAGCGTCCAAATATTCCTTAAGGACACAGTCATTTTGCACAACAAAGGCAAAACAAGCCCATTTCTAGCAATTAGGGTGGAAGTCTGAGAGCAACGAAAAAAGTATGCCAATATAATTTCCTCTCTAGTGATGAAGAATAGTATTTTTATTGTTATACCATAGATTAATTAGTGCATTTTAAAGATCTTTTTCATTTTGAGCACATTTTACATTAAGGAATTTCCCAGATAATATAATACTTTATTTTTAAGAGTGGAGATGATATCCTACATTGTTCTTGTAGAAATTTCTTAAAGAAATTTCTGTTATGACAGATTTTAAGTTTTGATTCTGGTAAAGTAAAAGCCTTCAACTCAATATACCAGCCACTTTAATTTGTTAGAGAACACGAGGCACTAGCCTTTGGCTTCCATTTTCCTCTTATAAACCAAGGACATCTTCAGTTCTGGAATAGCTTTTTAAAACGTGGCTTCTGATAAATTCTGGCAGAACTGGTGCATTCCCAGAATAAATTCTGTATGCTCAGCATTCCCTATTTAAATACATCCCTACGCAGAATGACCACATAACTGTCCACCACAAAACAGGTTTAAGAGAAGTCTGGATATGGTAGAAGATATGTGTACATTATAACGTGACACTGATACAATTTTTTTAAAAAAGAAGAAATTCATGTCTAGGGTCAAAAGTCTAATCAAATGTTAATGCCGTAACAACCATAACTAGTTCCGATACACGTGAAGTTTTAAACTGAGGGGCTGAAGTGAAGGGGAGGAAATCGCACCCAGACCAAAGAAACTTCAAAATTTCCCCTGCCCTTCTGGGCAAGTTCCAGCTCTATAAAATGTACCCTTGCCTTTAAAGCAAAGTGGTGTTGTGCTTTCAATTCTCATGCCGTTGTGCAAGGAAATCTGTGTCTCTCTTCCCCAAATTAGGGATGTGAGAAGCTTCCCAGGTTCGAAAGACCAAAAAGCAGCCCCGCGGAAAGTTTTCTCCCGCCCCAAGGGTGTGAAAGTGGGCACGGAGGAGGGGGGAAAGACATCCGAAAGGGAAAATCTGTAAGCGGTACACCTGTGGATCTCGGGGTACAGACAGAAAAATAACGACCGTGTCCAGGTCAGAACCGGAACCGCATTCCCCGAGCGACCCGGACAGCGGGTGGGCTCGCCGCGAACGCCGGACAGCTGCAGGAGGCCGAGGAGATACTGACAGCGCCGTTTACCGCACCCCTGCTCACCACTCCCCGCGGGCGCCCAGCGCGCCAGCCAATCCCCTGGCGCCATTCCCTTCCCTCGGAGGCCCCGCCCCCCACGCCCGGGATGCTGGGCCCCCGCGGCGTGACGCGAGCACGGCGGCTCCGCCCCCTGCGTCTCTGGCCTCGCCGGCCTTGGGGGGATGGTTCCATCATGGCGTCAATGCAGGTGAGAGGAGTTTGCAGCATCTGGGAGGGCGAGGGAGCCTCCGAGAGGATGCGAGTGTTTCGTCGGGGGCGGCGTCTGGGACTCTCGGGTACCGGGCGGGCTCGGGAGCGGCCCTGGCGGCCAGCCCTTCCCCAGTCTTCGGGCGTTGGGGAGGAGTGAGAGGCGGCGAAAAGAAGGGCGGTGGGGGGTGGGGGGGTCGGGCTCGGTCGGTCGAAGCGGACACCAGCCGGCCGGGAAGTTGGGGGATAAAGAAGGCGAAAGGAGGAAAGGCGAAGTTTGGCGTTGGCTCTGCGGCAGTCGTCTCGGAGTCGTGTCCCGCTCGCACTGTCGGCCGCTGCCGGCCTGTCTGGCCGCCCCAGGGATGCCTTTTCCTCCGCGGTCCCCGGCCCGGCGGAAACAGCTGCTCTGGCCGCCGAGGCTGGAGCGGCCCCGAGAGGGGCTGAGTGTGGGGGAGCTGAAAAGGCGTTCCCGGGAAGGGCGCCTGGCGGCCTCTGCCCAGGCCTCCCACGCCGGCTTCCCTGACTGCTCGGCTTCTCGGCTCTCTCTTTGCCCCATAATTTTTTGCCTCTTGGGTACCTTTATCAGCCTCCGCACTCCCAGCGAACAGCACCCTGCTTTCTTTCTCCCTCTCCCTGAAGCTGCTCTTAGTTCCTCGACCTCACTTGCCGCCTAATTGCGGTGTCCCGGGAGCCAAATCACCAGCCCCCTTAGACCTCCCTGGACAGCTCGGCTTCAATTTTTTCCTCCCCCTACGGCGCCCCACCCTTGTAGTCGCGGTCAGGCTATAGCCCTTTGCCCTTTCTCTTCCCCTGATCTTTAGTGAAACCTTAGTTTGGTAGGAGGTGTTTGTTAACCCGTGTTACATCTACCCGACTTGGCAATGCGTGGTTTTCTGGCTTTCCAACTTACTATAACCCCCTTTTCCCGAATCCAAGGAGTTTGGTGTTTTGTTCTGTTCTGTTTTGTTTTGTTTTGTTTTTCTGGCAAAGATGGCAACCACAATCGGAGTTTTGTATTGATTGACTCCGCATCTTCTGTAGCCTGCATTTATTTTACCGGTGAAGACTACCTGTATCAAAACACATAGGAAGAGAAGGTAGAACTCTCGTTTGAATGTCAGCTGAGCGCTTTTTAGATTTTCACAAGGACACCTCAAGTAAAGAAAGAGACCACGTTTTTCTTAGAAGGATTATGTGCTTTTGTTTCTTGAATAATAAGCAAGTCTCCTTACCCCCTTCTGGATTTTTCTCCTTTCTAGGCCAGAACACTGGTTTTCTTTTATCTCTTCTCCTTTTTTCATCATCTTCCTCTTTTGTGCACATACTTGGTTCACATTTATTTCTGTGCTTTTTGTGTTATCCCCTTTCAACATGTTTTTCATACGGTATTCTTTTTACTTTTGCTTCTCCCTCTGGACTTTCTTGCAGAATAGGGGGGGAAAAATATCTATCTATCTATCTATCTATCTATCTATCTATCTACCTATCTATCTATCTATATGTATATATATAACATTATAACATTCCTGGTTGAAAAGATGTCATGAAATGGTGCAGGGAAAAACAAGAACAATTTCAGGAAACATTATACTTTACACTAATCTCCCCACAGACATTAGAGAAGTTCCGTCATTTGAGGACCCAAAAGGAACTGGAACACCAGATGAACAGTAGCTGGGCTATATAACCAATTTAAGATTATTTGTATTAAGATTAAATGTATTTGTTTTAAGACAGAAAATTAAGATTAAAATCCACAGTATTTGTGATTATATTTCACAAGAGAATTGTGGGAATAACTAATTTGCTGGTTAGAGTTAGGCTGCAAGTGTCTGGAAAAGGCAGGTTTGTTTTTAAGAGAGAAATGAGTCAGTGTGGAACTTAATATTGATAATTATGAATTTTACATGGCAACATAAGCAGTGGAAAAAAAATACTTGCCAGTGTAATACTGAATTTTTCTGTGCCCCAAGTACTACCTTTGACTGTCGTATCACCCTTTATTCTACTTTGTGTCTTCTGATGAGAGGAATGGAAAACTGATGTTCCTTATTTTAATTAGAACTAAGTCTTTCTTTTTATTTGTATTTTTAAAACATCTCATGCAGATTTTCTGATAGTATCTTGACAAATATTTTAATATAGATAAATTGAGGTTTTTCAAGCACAACATGACTTTCTGTGTCTTTGGTAAACACATTTTTTTCTTGACCATCTTAATAGCAAAGCTTAACTGTTTTCAAAAACATTGGGAGTTTTTCAGAACAATTAAATTACATGTAAAACTGCAACCAAATTATAAAATTTGTTCATTCACTCATCAGTTATTTTTTGAGGGCCCATTATGTGTCAGGCACTCATCTAGGTGTTGGGGATACAGCAATGAGCAAAGGCAGACAAGATTTCTGCCTTTTTTAATATAAAAAATCTAGTTGGGGGAGACAGGTAAGAACAAAATAAGTTAATTGTGTATCATATTAGAAGGTGATAGTGTGGAGAAAAGGCATGGAAGGAGATTTGAAAATTGATATTTTGGGGATTTCAGTTAGAGTGCTTAGGAAAAAGCACAGTGCTGTGTTCTGACCAAGTCGTTACCTAAAAAGTTTTCAGATTTCTTTATATTACCCACACCAGGATATTACTGCTGCTGAAGAGGTTACTTAAGCAGTAAGAGGAACTGTATTTTGCATATTATACAAATGTAACATAGGATTTGATTACTTGAATTGATAAAAATGAAATAGTCTTTAAGATCACTAACTAAGGGTAGACTTTGAATTTTTCCTTGAAGAGTATATATTTAAAAATTGAGGTTGTAACTGCTTTACTGTACTCTCATCAGTGCCTCCCAACCTTTTTTTCAGGTGCTGGCACATGGAAAGAGTAATTTTTGAATCTCATGCTAAGACGCATAAGGTTGTTGGAGGTTGAAAGAACCTAGCTAGGCAGATCTTTGTGAAATGTTGGGGATGAGGATCAGTGTTCTGGCACACCTGTAATGCTAGGGAAGCTCAGCTCTATCATATTGCTAGAGTTGTTCTTTAATATATACTTTAAGACTGTGGTTTTCAAACTCATATAAGCCCTTTGGGACATGGTTTCCCAATTTTTTTCTTTTTGGAACAAATGTCACAAATCACCAAGAAGTTTGTGGTTAAATTATGTTGATGGTTTTTAAATTTTTTATGTTTTTTGTTTTTTTTTAAGAGAAATATCCATTTGTTGTTCCACTTATTTATGCAGTCATTGGTTGATTCTTGTATGTGCTCTGACCAGCGATCGAACCCACAACCTTGGTGTATCCGGACAACCCTCTAACCAACTGAGCTACCCAGCCAGGGCCAGATTATGTTTTAAGAAATTATTCTTTGAGAATGGTGGGCTCATGGCAGTACTTAAAATTGGTAGGCTATGTTTAATTTTGTTAATTCTAGAAATCAAAATATTAAAGGAAAGTTCTTTGTAGCAAATTTTTAGATTTAGTGTTTTAGGGATTTTGATTTTTTTGGTACAACTTTTATATTCCCAAACTATAAAAACACTGCTGAAGTGAATTTTTATGTGATTCTAAGCATTCCTAAAAGTGTAGTAATATTGAGGTATTCTGTTTTTAGCTAAATCATAAAATTGTATTTTGTGTTATGTTTCAGTTTCATTTTGTATTTAATCTTTTTTTTCCCTTTCCCTGTTGGCTCATTTCATTCATAAATATGTATTATGAAATATTTAACTAACTTGGCCTCCTGAATATATTTCCTGATTTTTAGAATACAGCTGTTTCATTTAGATTTCTCTTACATTGGGAGTTTTTCGGTATACTTGGTATACTTCTCTAATTTACATCTAGATTTTTTTATTAACTTCAGGTGTGTCTAAGATCTTAGGAAGTCAGAGCAAAATAATCGATATTTGTTAAATCCAAAAACAGTGTTATAATTGAGAGAAATGGTCATTTGAATTACTCTTGTGGATTTTTTGCATTTTCTTCCTCTTACCTAATTGGATCTTAGACTATTAACTTGTTTTTTTGTTTTGCTTTGTTTTTTGTTTTTGACATTCAATATTATTTCTGTTTTAGTCTCAGATGTACAGCATAGTGGTTAGACAATCATGTACTTTACAGAGTGGTCCTCCCAATATTTTAAGTACTCACCTGGCCCAATTTTTTGCTTAATACACTTTATGTATGTTATACTTAAATATAATGTGACTATGCATAGATTTTTCTCTTTTTTTCTTTTTTTAATCTTCATTGTTGAATATATTACAGATATTTCTCATTTTTCCCCCTCCTCCCCACTCCCGCCCCCCTCCTGCCTTTTCCCACACTATTGTCTGTGTCCATTGGTTATGCATATATGCATATAAATTCTTTGGTTTATTTCTTCCCACCCCTCTTCCCTTTGAGGTTTGTCAGTCTAGCAACCAGTTTGTACTTCTTAATCCCTTCACCTTTTTCACCCATTTCCCCCTCCCCCCTCCCATCTGGCAACCAACAAAATGTTCTCTGTATCTATGAGAATGTTTCTGTTCTGCTTGTTCATTTTGTTTGTAAATTCAATTCTTGATAGCTATATATTCATTGCCATTTTGTTTGTTCATTTTTTTTCTTCTTCAAGAAGACCCTTCAGCATTTCATATAATAATGGTTTGGTAGTGATGAACTCCTTTAGCTTTTTCTTGTCTGGGAAACTCTTTATATGGCCATCGATTCTAAATGACAGCTTTGCAGGATAGAGTAATCTTGGTTGTAGGTTCTTGCTTTTCATCACTCTGAATATTTCTTGCCACTCCGTTCTGGCCTGCAAAGTTTCTTTTGAGAAATCAGCTGACAGTCTAATGGGAACTCCCTTGTAAGTAACTAACTGCTTTTCTCTTGCTGCTTTTAAGATTCTCTCTGTCTTGAACCTTTTGCATTTTGATGATGATGTGTCTCGGTGTGGGCCTCTTGGGGTTCCTCTTGTTTGGGACTCTGTGCTTCCTGGACGTGTATGTCTGTTT